TGGATTGTACCCCTTAAGGGCTACCCCACTACAGCCTACACAGATGTATAAGCTATAATGTTCTGACACGTTGAGCTGCCACAAGATGCGGAATGTGTAATCGCAGCTGAACGCAGATCCCATTGTTCTCTTCGGTCATCACATTCGCGTCATCAGTATTGATGACCGAGATCTTACTGATATCCACTCTGGTACTCTCTAGTTGTGCCAGAAGCACGGCCAGTAAAGATGACGCGTCGCACTTCTCCACGGTGAGGTGCCGGAAGAACTCGCACTCCACCTTCGCGTCCTTGAGGAAGCTCAAGTACACGATCATATGCTTCACGCGCCGCCTATCAGTAGACTCGTCAAGCTGAATACCCAAGTAGGGTGACTTGATGATGTACTGCATCTGCCGAGCCTTGAGGTGCTTCGACAAAACCACTGTCATGTGCCGAAATCCATAGATGCACATAAAAACCAGTAATGATTAGTAAGGCCGCCATGGATGCAATGAATCATAACCCACGATCATGGACTTACTCTGACTGGTAAGTCCCGAGCGCCTTGTCCGGGATGTTGGGCGTCTTGAGCAGTTGAAGCAACGACACAAGCCCAACAAACAAAGCGATGGGAACATCTGACTTGCAAATGAATAAAACAACTAAAAGAAGTTGTTTCAACCGCGCCACTTCACCAGACTCATCCTCATACTTGTCAATACCGCGCTGACCGACCTTCCCACCTTCCGCTCGCTCCTTCTTGTTGAGGGCGTCTTGGTGCTTACGGGACAAACCATGCTTGTGCATGGTTTGCTTCTGGATGTTGACTCCCCCTTGCTCGTTCTTCCCGTACTGCCAGTTAGGAGGTCCGTATGTTGTGCAGATCGTGCATTTCATGCACGGCTGACCATCGTTGCACTGCGAAATCACCAGCCACGGGAGCCGTCGCTGCCATATGTCGCGGCACTTCGCCCGCAACTCGGATAAGAGAGCGTCCGGGTCAGGCACTAGCACCATAGGCGTTGACGGACCCGGGTCACGTCGGGGAGCACTTCCTCCAGCAGCAGCAGGTGGCGTGGCTGTCGTTGCCTCCGCACGTGGCCGCGATTGCGTGATGCGGACGTGAGGCACACGAGTACGTGCAAAACGAAGCATGCTTTACGTGAAGTGCCCAGCCGTTGGGAAACGAATACGACACGCTCATCGTGCAGCACTAACAGAAGACGTTGCGACCCGTTCGTCCTTATTACTCAGCGATGCATCGACGGGCTGTTCGCTTAGCGGACGGCGCAAATTCGCCTCGGGCCACGGCTCGGTACTAGCTGTGGGAGGATTGTCGGGGGGCAACACGGGGGTAGGCGGCTCGGCGGTAGGTAATACGGGCATGGCTGTTGGGGCAACGCGTCTGAGAAAGTCTAGGCCTGTCTTCTGTTGTGGGGCCATAGCACTGGGAGGAGCAGCAAGCCGGGTATCTGGTGGCATGTCACCAGGATCATCCATGGCGTGAACGCCCTGAGCGAATGATGCCTGGGCGAGAAACGAGAGAGCTTGGCGAGGGCCTTGCTAAGGCATGGCAAAAGGGGGGGTTAAAACAAGATGAACTTGACCATACATTCCACAGCGTGTCAGTCATTGGCTTGCCTGGGATGGCACGCACCGCGGCGCCCGAGTAAACACATGGACCAGCGCGACAAATGTGCATTGTCGATGCGTGCCGCTGCTACCCACTTTTATGTGCGCTGGCTAGAACTGCCCAGTGAGAGCCAGAGCTGCTGCAGAATCATCCAAAAACAGATACACATGACAAACCCTGGCTGAACCTAGACAGCCATCGGAGCGCGAATGATGCGCCGTCACCCCAAACATGACATGGGATGCTCGGTATCTGCCGTGATCGATGGAAGTACCGTCAATCACAGCGAAATGGATAAGCCTCGGTTTCAGACAAGCGTGTTAATTTTCCCTTGTAAATCAGATGAACTAGGAAAAACACTTCTAACTCAATCAGACATTTCCTAAAAGTAATTTCTAACCCATCAAATATTCCAGAAACATGCAACTTAGAAACCAGATTCCACAACAAAAAAACCCCTACTTTTAAAGACAAACAGACAAAAATGTATGATGTCGAGGACCCTGCCAACATGCCTGTAACCCTTCACTAGGATCAATCGGGGATCACCAGTGGACCTCTGTCAAGCGCACACCTCTTGTCGTTGACCACAGACTCACTGACTTCTTTCTTGATGAACCGTTTGAGCCTAGTGGTCCTTACGCAGAGCTTGAAGGCTGCCTCATGTACCTAATAACTTGTACTCGCAAGGACCTCGCCTTCCTTCTCAGCATCCTTGCTCGCTTTTTTGCGCCAGGGAGACACCGTCCTGTTCTCTGGATAGGTGCTGTGAGGGTGGCAAAGTACCTAGCGATGACATCAAGCATAGGGCTGGTACTTGGAGGGAGACAGTCTGTCGTACCTACTGGTCACTGTGACTCTTCTTACGCTGACGACGCCGAGACTCACAGATCTACTCAGGGATACTACTTCAGCCTGAACTCTGGAGCTTTTTCTTGGAGGTCCACGCGTTCCTCCTTGGTCTCAACCTCTACCGCTGAGGCTGAGATCTATGCCGCCACTCCCTCGGCTCCCACACACCCACCCCCCTCAGCGGTAGCTGCAGTAGTGGGAGACGGAGGAGGAGGAGGAGCAGGGGACGGCTCGCACACCTGGCACCCCCATGCTCGCCACCCCCACACTCGCCACCCGCAGGGAGGAAGAAGCCTCGCGGCGCACGAGGGCACGGGGCAGCACAACGGGAGCACAGGGGGCGCGCGTGGGTCCCCAGGGCGGCGCGAGGGGAGCGCAGGGGGCGCGCGCGGGTCCTCAGGGCGGCGCGACGGGATGGCGAAGGTCGCGCGCGGGTCCCCAGGGCGACGCGACAGGATCGCAGGGGGCGCTCGCGGGTCCCCAGGGTCGCGACGGTCGACGGGGAGGGACGCGCGGGTCCCCGGGGGCGCCGCGACGGTCGACAAGGGGGGACGCGCGGGGAAGTAAACCACCGCGCGCCTCAAGGCGCACGGCGAGCAGAAAACCGTTGCGCGCCCCGAGCGCTGGGGGGGGCAGAAAACCGCCATGCGCCCCGAGCGCGTGGCGGGAAGAAAAAACGTCGCGCGTCACGGGGCGCGCAACAGACAGGACAGCAGCGGAAGCAAGTGGGCCCACAGGCCAGGAGCGTACTCGCTCTGATAGCATGTCAGAACAGTAGCTAGAATGTTAGAATACCGTCATCGCCCGGATATAAGACATATATGTCTTATCTCGTACACACGCAAAAATGCTTGAGCTATCTTGTAAACGGGATGGTTTAGGGTGTCTTATAAGTCTTATAAATGGAAAAAAAAAAAAAAAGTTGACTGTAACACTTGCAAAGTGTGTAGAAACCACCCAAAGACCAATTTCATTTAAACAGGCCGACCTCGGTGGTGATGCATGCAGCGCCCACATTTTCCACGTGAGGGAGCTGCCACCGCTGGCAACATTCCTCTGTACTGGCAGCATCTAATGATGCTGCCAACGTCGTTTTGCTGCCAGGAGCGCATGGATGCTTCCAGAACGCTGCTGGCAGCACGTTGGCAGCGTGAGGGCTGTCCTCTACGAGGAGATGCCTCGTAGAGGAGCGGCTCGGCACCTGTGGATGGGGCACTCTGGCTGGGGGGGGTAGTCGGGCTCTCACTTCATTTCGTGCTCAAGGAGGTTGAATACTCGTCTCAACCTTGCTCTCGGCAGGCTCTCTAACCATGCGCAACAAAGTACCAGTAGGCAAGTCCTCACCTCGTCCTCACGTGCAGGTTAATAACTACGGGCGAATTAACTCGCCCGGCGATGACATCCGCCGCAAGCGGATGCACGGGGGGGGGGGCGCCACTCACACTACCCCGACATGGAGGCAGCGTTGTACCGCTACATCTGCCTTCAGCGCGCTAACGGGGTGGCCATCTCGGTGAAGGACACCTAGAAGTGGAGCCGCGAGTGGATGAAGAAGCATTACCGCGGCAAGAACTGGAACGCGAGCTCTCACTGGAGCCAGCGTTTCCGTGACCGCTGGAACCTGGTGATGCGGGTGAAGACCAAGGTCGGCCAACGTCTGTCGGCAGGTGCGTGTTGAAGGATTTTGTCTGGCGCTCTATTGAATGCATGTACCTCACCCAGTGTCTAACCATCCCGTGCTTTCGTTGCGCTTGTCCCGTTTGCAGAGTGCGCGAAGGACTGCAAGTCCTTCTGGAAGTTTGTGCGCATCAACAGGGCGCGGCACAAAATCGACCTGGCCCGCATCATCAACGCGGACCAGACTCCACTATTCGTGGAGATGCCAGCCGAACGGGCGATCGAGCACCGTGGCGCGCGCTCGGTTCCAATCCGCACTGCAGGCTACCAGAAGACGCGCTTGAAGGTGATGCTCGCGTGCACTGCATCCGGGGAGAAGTTGCGGCCGTGGGTGTGGTTCAAGATGAAGAACGTCCCCAACTGTGAGATTCCGGAAGGTAAGCGAGCGTGAATTCAACCGTGCGACTGCCTGATGAGCGTGCCCCACTGTGCTGATGCCCGTCTATCCCTTGTGTGCCTGGCAGGAATCGTGGTCCAAGCACAGGACAACGGGTGGATGGACGAGACCGTTGTGCAGACCTGGCTGTCCAAGGAGGTGCTGCCCCATCTGAACCCCCAGCGCGGCCAAAACGCAAGGCGGGCGATGCTGGTGTTGGACTCCTAACGCGGTCACATCACCCAGACCATGCTTCAGTCGTACCGCACGCACAGCATCACCCCTGCAATCATCCCAGCGGGTTGTACGAGCCAGATTCAACCCCTGGACGTCTCCATCAACCGGTGCTTCAAGGCTGCTGTGCGAGCACGCTACGCCAGGTGGTTCATGCGTGAAGGGATTCACCTGAAGACGAAGAAGGGTGAGTTGGTCCTTCATTTACGGTTTTATTCATGTTCTGTTTCGTGTCCTTGTCTTAAACATGCTCCTTCATATCCGTGTCTCTTACATCTCGCTGCCCCGTCCTCTGTCCCACCCGCAGGGAACCTGCGGAGGCCTCCGCACCCCGTGGTGCTGTAGTGGATCGCGGAGGCTTGGGATCAAGTCCCCAAGCAGATCATCATCGACACGTTCTGCCACTGTGGGATCTCGAGCAAGCTGGACGGAACAGAGAACCACCTGGTGATGTCTCACCTGCGCGCCAGGAGCACCACCGATGTCTCCGCGGACATGTCTCTCGGGGGGACCACAGGCGACAACACGCGCCTGCTCGGTCGGACTCCAGAGGAGGAGGAGGAGGAGGAGGAGGCAATGCAGGCGGAGGGCGTGCGGGAGGTGGCCGTGGCAACCGACCTGGAGGTGCTGTACCAGGAGACCCCCAACTACCGCGGAGCGGCGGCCGAGGCTGACCGCATGATCGAGCCTAGGGAGACGGCTAGGCATGCCTGGCGAGTGCCAGACTTGGGTGTAGAGCCTGATGTTAGTGCAAGTGAGGAGGCGGTGACTGAGGGGGGTTAGGTAGAAGTAGAGATTCATGACTGTATGCATGTACCCCCCTAAAGTAGGAAAGCTAGCTAAGAAGACACCCCCTGTTTATAAGAAAACCGCTAAACCCTGGTTCTGATTATAAGACATATATGTCTTAACTCGTACACACAAATAGGTGTCGTATAAAAAGGCTAGCTTGTTTATAAGAGACACCCGTATAGTAGACAACCCCTGTCTACTATTCAACACTGTCTTATATCCGGGCGATGACGGTAGAAGAAGGGGTTTTCACTAGCAAGCAATGGGATACATATAGCAAACCCTAGTTGGGTTGTACTCACTATAGAGTACCCCACTGCAGACTAGACAAATAACACATTCTGATAGATTCATGACTGCACAGGAGCTACGCTAGTTGACCTTTTTGCTCATAGACCTTGGTGAGCGGCTGAGCTCAGCACCGACCTTGTTTGCTGTCAACAAGGCAACAATTCTCCTCTGGCGAGAGCCTCGATTGGAGACAAAGTGAAGCACATCAGCATCGGGTACTTTCTTCTGCGAGAGTTGCAGAGGCGTGGACAAGCTTGTTGGGACTTTATGGAGTCCGGGGCCAAAACTGCATACATTTTTACCAAGGCTCTTCCGCCTTGTGACCACCACACGTGTTGTGTGCGGTTAGGTCTCATTGACATAGGTGTCAGAATATGTTATTCGTCTAGTCTACAGTGGGCTACTCTATAGTGAGTACAACCCAACTAGGGTTTGCTATATGTATCCCATTGCTTGCTAGTGAAAATCCTCTTTCGTGTTCTAACTTTCTGCCTGCTATCTAAACAATAGGTCCTCGTCTTGTGTAGACTTTGCTGGTTTTATTGTACACTTTGCATATCTGGACTGTGCCTTGTGGCCCTTCTGTTTGTGCTCAGACTGTGTGGTGACGTTGTGATCCACCCTGAGCTTTCTTTCTTTGTGACCGGTCTTGTGACCGTACGGTTTTGGTCTTCCTTGACGCCCCTCACTTAGGCTATGGGGGTGTGTCAAATGTTGTAACCTTTAGTGATGTGTGTCATATGCATAACAGCTATTAGGGTTAGGTTTATGTACCCCAACCCACAATAGTCCATCATCAATTCGGTTTCTGACAATGTGGTATGGGAGCAGGCCCTCAGATTGGTTTGAGGGTATGCTGATGGATCAGCGTGCCCCGGCCAACGAGGTGTCCAAATCAGCGTTCACGGTTTTTTTTACCGTATTACCCCGGACATACCACCCGCCGAAATAGAGCACCCCCCGGGTGGCTTGTGCGGGGGGGGTGCTATAGCGGGCCTCATTTCTACTATACCCCCCTTTTGGGGCGATCTGATATAGCACCCGGGGGGGTGGGTGTTATGTACGGGTAATATTGCCGTTTTTGCAAATATACATTGTGGTTGACGGCGAACGTGCACTGTACTTTGGGTGGCACATTGTGGGCGATATTCGTGGCTGTGTGTGTCGAAATACTTTGTCATGTTTTATAATTGCTTGTAGTTGTAGTTAGTGTAGTTATGTAAACTTTTGTTGGTGGTGCACCTTATTGTGTTTCTATGCTATATGTACCCCTGAACCTATAGTGAAACACACCTTTTCACAATTTCTCCTCTCCAACTCACTCGACTCTCACCCTAGGTGAAAACCCGCTCGATACTAAGTTAGGGCCTAGGCTACTAAGCCTAGGCCCCATGTTTCTACTCTGTATTACCTACTATTTTGACATGGTATCAGAGCTAGGTTCGTCCTGGCCTGTGGGCCCACTTTACACTTCCGCTGCTAAGGTTTTCCGGTCGCGCGCCTAGGGCGCGTGACGACTTTATTTTTACATTGTCCCGCCCACGGGCGAGTGACTCCTTCCGTGCCCGTCGCGCGCCCCGTGGCACGCGACGGTGCCCTTCGTCTGCCCATCGTGCGCCCCGTGGCACACGATGGTGCCCTGCTCGTCGTGCGCCCCGAGGCACACGATCGGGCCCTTCTATTCTACCCGTCGTGCGCCCCGTGGCACTGGCCCGCGACGGGCCTTTCCGCCCCTGCACTCCCTGAAGCCGCGGGGAGGAGGGTATGGGGGTGGAGGGTGTTGGAGTGTGGCGTCACCTCTCTCCCTTCCCCTCCTCCTTCTTTCAGTCCCACCGCTGCAGCTGCCGCTGGGGGGAGAAGGTGTGAGGATGTGGGGGAGCAGGGGGAGTGGTACCGGGGTGGCGGGTGTGAGGCAACAAGCAGCCGTCCCTCCACCTCTCCTCTCTTCCCCCTTTCTCTGCTGCTTCTGCAGCAGTGTGGGGGAGGGGAAGGAGGAGGGTGAGGAGATGGTAGGGGTACCTGCTGTTGCTATAACTACACACCTACCTACAAGCATTATGGGGGCGTGTCGAAATACTTTGTCATGTTTTATAATTGCTTGTAGTTGTAGTTAGTGTAGTTATGTAAACTTTTGTTGGTGGTGCACCTTATTGTGTTTCTATGCTATATGTACCCCTGAACCTATAGTGAAACACACCTTTTCACAATTTCTCCTCTCCAACTCACTCGACTCTCACCCTAGGTGAAAACCCGCTCGATACTAAGTTAGGGCCTAGGCTACTAAGCCTAGGCCCCATGTTTCTACTCTGTATTACCTACTATTTTGACAGTGTGGTGCCAAGTCACACTGACGTGTACTTTCGCGTACACTTGTCCAGATTTTATGGCAGGCGAATTGAGAAAGCTTGCTTTCTTGTCCTTATAATTTGGCATCGTTCTCATTGCAACTGGCTTATTACAACATATGCATCGTTCGTAAACACATGCTAGTACATGCAAATATTACTAGCTATGGAGTCGTCCGTCCAAGCAGCTGTGGTCTTGTAGTTGGTCCGGGGTGGGTGGTGGGGATGTTGATTGAGCCGTTGGAAAACGAGAAACGTGGGTGGAGGGAATGAACTCCAACCCACGGTTTTTGTAGTTGGAGAAGGGCGTTTAGCGCGCTTCGACGCTGCCAAATATTCGGTACAGTCAGCTTCGCTTTCACAATACACAATTTTGAAAAACATCAATGTGTTTAAAAATTATAATACTTCAGAAGAACCGTGATCTGACCCAACAGTTTGTGTGACTTCAGTACAGTAAAATCACGACTGCCAGCTTGGTTGTGTGTTCTGTTTGATTTCGACCGGCCAGGGAAGTGAGGCGTGGGAGGGAAATGGGAGGAAATTGCGTGATTGGCTGCAACACTGATTTCTTGCTCTGAACCCTGACAACTCTGAGTAAGTCGTTGTTGGACACTGACCAATCAGAGTAGCAAACCTACGAAATATGTGCCCTCATAATCCAGGGAGAATTGTTTTCCCGAAATCAGGGGGGGCCGAAATGAAACGTCAGCCCTGGGGGGTGTGTCTTCTTTCCAATCAGGGCCTGACTGTGGGCCTTGTTGGAGCTTGCAATGTGGCAGCTAACCCACGAGACTAACGTTATCGCCCAGTCCTCGGTTTTGCGCACCCAACCAACAATCTACCACCGCGTCAAACATGTACATTTTGTTCTCAACCTTTTGTGCTCTAAAAAAAATATACATTATGTAACGACCCGGGTGCAATGTAGCTTTTTCCGATGACAAGACCCCCCCCCCCTTTTTTTTTGTGTAGTTATCATAGCACCCTAGGGTGGTATGTCCGAGGTAATACGGTATACTAATTTTGCCAGTGTAAAAATCATAAGTAAACTGAACCAACAGTGTAATAACAAAAATCTATAGCTGAAACCCCAGTACAAGGTGTGTGGTGTTGTTGCTGTGATAGGTTCCAGCGAGGCTAAACACTTCGGCGCGCACCTGATATCTGTGCAGTGTATGCGAAAAAATGTCAAGTGTGTGGGTGGGGTCTCAGGAATCACGGGAAGGTACAGATTGTACATGCGTACCCTATCACCCCCCCCCCCCCCCCCCCCCCCCCACGCGCGGTCAACTCCGTTTCAGTGTGACTCGCGTCACTATACTGATTCTTCAGTGTTTCTTGTAAATTAACATGCAAAATGGTCAGTGTGACAAGGTAGGATATACTGAAATTTCAGTGCAAAATTGAAGCATATGCTGAATTTTCAGGGAAAACGAAAATCACAGCAACAAAATCAGTGTAATCAGCGTGTTTTATGCTGATATCTGAGGGCCTGTATGGGAGTAAGAGGGGCATGCACGAGCTACCAACAATAGAGGCAGCAGCACGAGCACCAGTCTGGTCTGCACCAGTCTGGCCCGCAGCAATTGTATCTGCGGCTCCTGTAGCCCTCTTATGACTCCCCCATACTCTCAGCCAGCAGCACTGGTTGGGCAGCAGAGTGCAGATACGTTTCCGCTTCACTGTTCCGCACCCACAGAGGGAATTCAGCAGCACCCCCAGCCACACCAGAAGAAGACAAAACGCCTCCACTCTCACTGTCCACCTGGCCAACTCTGCTCACCGCCAGCGTGCCGCCCAAAATGGGCACAGAGCTGGCTGCCCTGCGGTGGGCAGCAGCAGCAGGAGCAGCAGCAGCAGCAGGGCCCGCAGCAGCACCCAACCTCCCTCCAGCACCACCCAGCAACCTATCACGTGTATGTGGGGCCGAGAAGGGAGTCAGAATGAGGGGCGAGCACACATGCGATTGGCTAGCGGAGCGCAGGTATGGGACAAGAGGCGCCCTCACACCCTCCTCAACCAGCCCCTCCATTCCACGCTGCTTCCCCGCTCCCCCCTGCTGCCACCACTGCTGCTGCTCCGCCCCCTGCCCCTTCTGCTGCTCTAGCTGCTGCTGCTCTGCCTGCCCAGGCGTTAACCATGGAGGGCCAATCGTTTGCCATCGCATCTCCGCCTGCTGCCCCTGCCCCTGCCCCTGCCCCTGTTCCCAGGTCAACATGTCAAATGTCCCCTGTCCCTCTTCCCGCCTCACCTTGGCTCGTTCCCACTCCCATTCCTCTTCCCTCACTCCCTCCTTCTCCATTTCCTTCTGCGCTCCTCCCCTCGACTCCACCTCGTGCTGCCCTCCTTGTT